TATGTTCAAATGAGAACATTTACTGATTTGATAACAAATGAGAACAAATATTGACCACTAATTAATCCTTATTTATTGGGTATGTAAACGTCTAACACCATCAAGATCTGGACCACCATCAAGATCGTCTGTCGACCGCCAAAATTTTCATAACGATGCCGGAATTATGGTAACGACCCCGGAAGCATCGTAACATCTCCGGAACCACCAGATGACTGCCTTTTCATTATATCTGGATATGCTTGGTCGTCATCTCCCTCTGCTCCCACCGTCAAAAACCACCTCTTCCGCTTCTCCTCTTTCTGAATCGTCACCAGATCTCGTTTCACCGGCCACAAGATCGTGATTCCCGATTTTGTTTCACTGGTCACAAGATCTGACCGGATCTAAAGCAGAATGCTATCATATTTGTTTCCTGATCTGGTTTCAGCGACATCCCCACCTCCACCATCAAACTACAATCGTCGGTATCAGGTTTACATTTATTTTATTGAGATTTCCTTTATATTTTGCCTACTCCTCCTTACAAATATTTCTTCCAATCTACAATTTCAGTTACTCGTGAAGATAAGGAGCTTCAAGTCTACTGATAGAAGTAGTTTTAACTAAGCTTAATCTTGATAAGGATATGAAGCTGTTGCTTGATCGAAAAGAAAATGGTCATGTTGCTAATAAATCTAAAGGAAATTTTACTGTTGATAATGTTGTTACAGGTGCATCTCTCCAAAAAATCGATTAGGTTATGTTTTCTTATTTATTAGCTTATGAAATTCCCCTTTTTGTTATGTTGTTTTGATATGAGACCCATTTTTGCGAGTTATTGTTATAAATTTTGCAAATTAATGAGTTTCTTGCTCTAGCTTTCTGGATTTTATGAACTTGCTTATGTTTTGCGGTTACTTGTTGAGTAGATTTTTTATGAACACCAAGTGTTCAATGAAATGCCTTAATGTAAAACCTCCACAAATAAATCAAGAACAAGGTGGTGTATTTATTGTTGCAGTTTGTAGGTACTTGTTGACTGTTTTTTTTTTTTTGCTGAAATAGCATCATTTAGATGTCTCTGTTTAATTTGCCTCTGTTTTTTTGACTGACCTTTATTTCCCCAAACATATTCAACAACTTGAATGTTTGGTTGTTAAGATTATAAATTGGATTTTATGTTCTTGCATAGTTTCCCCAAACATATTTTGATATCTTTGTTTAATTTGCCTCTGTGTAGGACTCGAAAGAGGTGACTTAAAGAGCTTAATGGGTTAAGTTGGCAACTTAACCCTAATAAGTATGAAAGTGACATTTTATTTGAAAATCCTTAACTTTGAACCCTCATTAAGCCAAACATTAAGGCCCTTAGGTTAAATTGAATTTCACATCTCTATAGTATAATAAGTAACCAACAATCATGTTAAAAGTGATAAACTTAAGGCTTAACCATTAATTCCTTTAGAACACCAAAAATGATTTAGAAGATATTATGATCAATTTTCCCAAATCTGTCCTCCAACTTCTAAAATTCGTGAAAGTCAATACGAACATCTAAAAATCATGAGACTTAGTTTTATGGAAATCTTAGTGTGTCTACTTTCTTCAAACTTTGAATCACATT